GAATATGTCTGGGTGTTGCCATCTGTACGTGGCGGCGCTGCATTCTTACTTACGTTGCTATGGTTATGGCGGTGATGCCGGCGCGGTATTTGAAATGTTCATATTGATATTTTTTTAACTCTGGCTTTGTAATAACAAAATATGGCAAAACGAAAACAGCCAAGCGTCACAGCTTTTGGATTCACAAGCAAAGAAGCGAAGGAGTCTAAAAATGACAACGTGAACGGAAAACAACTTTTAGTTGGCCGGCTGTAAGCGGCGTTAGGGTCGAGCTTGACAGCTCCACACCGAGGGAGAGGCCTCAACAATGGCCACATCCGCCGGCATAGTGACACCGTCTGATTAGTAGAAGAGTGTTTTTATAGCAATTGATCGCATCCGCGCTGCTGCGCCAGTCAACAGAGCGTGCGTGTGACATATTTAGTAGCAGGATGTGCTCTGAAAAATAGGGCTCCCCGAAAGCAAATGGGTAATTCGAACACTGACAGAGCTCCCTCTATACAAATCAAACTGTAGACGGTGTGAAAGCACCTATTGTTTTAAATAATGGTCGGAATGTGACCTGTGAGCCTTCTGAATTACCGTGGGACAGCACATTCTAAACTAAAATGTTCAATCAATAAAGTAACATCTTATCTTATCTTAATAATATCTTCATATTAATAATAATAATAAATCATACAGTATGTGTCCGAAAGGGAGCAGGAGGAAGCAAACACAAAAATATACAAAAAATATACTGCATAGCAAACGATTGTAAAGGTAAAAGTATGAGCATAACAAATAAAGAAGTGTAATGTAAACATTTACATTATAATAATGATTATTTAATATATAAAGACTATATATTATTGAATTACAAGATTACATATACTTTAGTTGATCTAAAATATTGATGTGTTCAAATGCTCTTAAAAACACAACTGAAAGTCCATGAAACTTGTCTTTCTGTATTTGTGAATGAAGCGCCATCTCCTGGTTAAAACCTGAAATTGAAAATCTGGCAACGCCCTCTTGTAAAATAGTGGGAGGGCTTAACATTCCTCTATACTGGTTTTAGGCAGGTCGTAGGCAGGAAGCTGTAAACTGGAGTCTGAAATGAAGTGCTACATATGTATATACTATGACATATTCAAGTTTCCACAGATTTATAAGCAATTTTAAAGCATAAAAAAGTAAACTTCCCTGACATAACGTCAATAACTAAAATAGATTTTCTGGAACCCAACTCTCCTAAAGTAACAAAGTTAAAAAAACAAGCAAACACTCCCAGTCACTGTAAAAACATAAACATAAAGAATCACCAGAGCATGAAAGTTATTGCAATGCATGAACACAAAAAAAGACAGCCTCGCCTACATAATCCCTGTTTCTCGAATCGATGCCAATATATAACATATGGCTCCAAATGTATCTGATTATTAAATCCACAATGCACACATACAAAATCCAACCATTGTGGTGCTTCCCTTCTCAAAACATCCAATCAGATCAGTCCATCGCAACAATCTCAAACTTGAAATTAAGAGAAACATAACGATATAAAAAAAATCAGTCCAGCGCTGCCTTTTTTAAAGCTTTATGTTCTTTTCTTGTATTGTGTGTTGACAGATGCCTGCCAAGGTCTTGAACCTTGGCCCCAAATCATCCAGGAAAATCATATCTTCTCCCTGGTCGCTTAGTGACAGCTTATCCAGTGATGGGCTTTTGCTGCCCAGTCCCTCATAGGCATACTCTTGGGGCGGGTACCCCGCCTGGTCCAACTGGTTTCCATAAATTGTGTTCAGTCTCTGTGGGATTGAGGAGTCATCAAAGGATTAATGCACTATTTTTTGTCAATAACAGATACTTTAAAAAAGCATATATAAGATAAGAGTGATAAAATATAAGATAAGATAAACCTTGATTGATTACAATTGGGAAATTGAAAAAGCAGCATCAGGGCTACAATGGAAAACCAGGATAACACAGGAGTTCACACAAGTTTAAATACGAATTAAAAATAAAGAATGTAAGTAACATTATATAATAAAATAACAACAACAGAATTAGTAGAAACCTTTTTTTTTTTTTTATATATATGTGTAGAGATATGAATAGTAATGATTATTATATATAAATATACTGTCAATGTCTGTTTTCAAGTCGTAAGTAGGTACAACCTATGTACATACAGACATCTGGAAGTATAAATGTATATGCATGGCCCTATTTCATATTCACTATACTACTTATTTCGTTGCTGAAAGCAGTTAGAAATCTCCTTTTAGGGATTTTGTTTTTATGCATGGTATGTTTAAAAGCATTAATAATTACTCTCTCTCATTCACACAAACAGAGAATTGACCATTGGGAAACATTTTGGGTTAATGTCCGGGGACACCTCAATGTGTGGCTTTAAGACAAACTTTCTTACCCTGTCGATGTGATCTGCAATGTGTTGGTTTGAGCGCAGGCTGACGGAGCGCTGGTACATTGATGAGTTTCCCTGTTCAGAGAGAGGAGTGTCGTGAGCTCTGATGGGCTGAATATGATGTGCATAAGTGGGCTTCCCACTGTCTAGTTAACATACTATTACATGCATGAAAGTGTATATTGCAGTCAAAGAACTTTATGACTGACTTACTTATTGAAAAATTCATTTTAATGAAGAGTATATTTACCTGGCCGGTGTTAGTCCTGTTTACATTCCATGTATTGTACTGAAGGAAATAAACAGATTAAGTTTTAATACTTAATTAAATCTCACAATGCCTATATTTGATGAAAAAAACTAAATTGACAGCACTTAAAGAGAGTAGAATAAACATTTTCTTACGTTCAACCAGTATAAGTATTCATCCCATTTGAATCAATAAGGGTGGGTGATTATCAGAAACCCATGTCAGTGTAACACAAGTTTAACTGCAAAGTGTGTGGATATGTTACTGTATATTAAACTACTGTATATCAAACTGCTGTTTTAACAGTGCTGCTAAATCTAATGAGCAAGAAAATAACATAATAACATCTAAATACACATACAGTATAGATATACAATTATAAGACACACATATATTGTACAGTATTTAACCTTTACAAATAGATACAGTTCATAGAACAAAAAAAAGGTTTTTCTTCAAAGGATAGAAACAAAAATGACTAACATGGAAATAAATGAGACCAACAAATATAAATCCTCTTGCTCAAACCTCCTATGTGTCAGGCTGTAAAAAAATAGGCATTGGTCATGTAGCATTATAACAAAGATAGTGACTCCCCCTTGTAGATTTAAGAAAGTAGTGTGCATCCTCATAAAACACACCTATTTATCAGAGAAACGAGATGCAAAGAGATAACACATTCAAAAAAGGCTGCTATTGATATCAAAGCTGCATTCACTTACCCTGGCCGGCCCGCTGCTCGTGAAAGTGTTTCTTTGTTGCTGCGAGCTCAGTGAGTTAACGTTGAACTGTAGGGGTTACACGGTGAGGTTATTCAGATTGGAAGGTAGAAATACAGGACAGCTACTGGCTCTGTCTTATGCCAATTACAGATTTGTAGTAATCATCTGCACTCAGGGCTGAACACTATAAGATAATTAATTGTTTGCAATCATAATTTGTCTACACAACTGTAAAAATGACTCTAAACCGGTGTAATCCTTCATCTTTTAGGTTTACAAATACACAAATGACAATATTTAAAGGCCCCTTACTCACCATGTCTACCATTTGACTGTTGTAGAAGTCTGTGTCCTTGACCACTTCATTAGATATCTCAGAAGTCTGGTTGAGAAAAGCGAATTAATAAAGCAACTTACAAGTATGGGGGAGTACAAATTGCATTATATCTTTGACATTTAACAACGCTTCGCAAAACAAGTGATTGAAAAGGGAAAAACAGCCACAAGATCAACTCTTAGAAAACGTGTAGGTCCATGAATTTAAAAAAGCAATCTTATTCATCTGAACCTTATTTATCTGCACCAACTTTCATCCCACTTTCAAAGGCTACAATAGTGCTATGCAGTACATGTGATCAGTACAAAGATCAAGTAGTTTCTTCTTGCAAGTATTTTAGGCAAGTCAAGACGTCTTCTTTGTATTGCCATAGTTCTGTTAAGGTCAACCATTTGAGCAACTTGTTAAACAAGCTGTGCAAACCCTGTCATTTATTCTATAAATATATCTACTACTTTTACTCCCACTACATTGTTATTGAACACACCCTTCAATCAGTCACACGTAAGTTAAGTAGACAAAGAAAAGGAAAACAACTGAACAAAAGCAGTCATCCAGTGTCAATACATCGACATTATGAGCTGCATTTTCTAAAACACACAGCTTCTGAAGTCATTTTTCTACAAGTTGCACGCACACTTTCAAATCAATGTTGAAAAAGTAAAATGAGACTAAGATGGGAGGGGAGGATTACCTTAATAGTGTTCATTTTATGGCCATTGTTCACAGCCACCATGCGTGTAGGTGTCAGGAGCAGAGTGGGCTCAGCCTGGCAGGGAAGAGAGAGTAAAAACAATATTAGAGGGGGGGTTATGTACTCTCAGTATCTTGCTCCCTCTAATTTGCACACACACTCACCTGGCAAGCAGAGCCCCCGCCTTCCTGGTTGTACTTGATGAGGGTCTGGTTGCCCTCATCCTGCACCATGACCATTTCCTTCGCTTTACATTGACACAGCAAAAGGAAGAGCAGCACTGCAGACACACGGTAAAATAACGCAACATTGTGCTTGAATAATAAATCCTGAGGATTAACAACCCACTTTTAGTTAAATTACCTAAATGATCTCATTATGAGCTATTGTTTATTGGGCCTGAAATGTATGGTTGGTACTTATGTTGAAATTGTTTGCCATACTCACGCAAAAATGATAAGAGTCCGAGAAAGAGTAGCCCAATGCCTGCTTTCCCAAGGCTGGATGTGACTGGATCTTGGGGTTTGCAAACAACGCCCTCTCCACAGTCACACACCATCACTACCATAGTTTCACTTGTAATCTCGCCTTGTTGGTCTTGAATCAACAGTGGCACTGAGTAGTTATTATATGGGAGTGGTGCCTGGCTAATAAGCCCAGCTTGATCACCTGGTGAAGGGTTTAAAGAGAGCTGAGTTGTGGCTGGTCAATTTCCAACATTATATATATTTTCTAGTAAGGAGGATTTACAGATATGTACTAACCATAGGAAGGGTCTAGTTTCCATCGCTGCGTCACCGTTGCGTCATCATCCACAAGGGAGAAAACAAAGGGCCCACCGAAAGGAGGGGCATCGTCATCCCTTGCTGTCACGATGACCTTTTTATCCTTGTTTCCACACAAAAAGGCATCATTGGTGGCCAGCATAGGTTTGTTGTCATTGATATCCTTGAGGTGGATGAGGACTGTGCAAGAACCTGTGGCTGGAGGCTCCTCTGTGTAACCACAGCAAAAAAACAAAACCCTTTAATGATCCAGGCATTAGTTAACAAGATGGCAACATTATGTTTGCTTAGAATATAAAGTAGGCCTCCTTCATACCATCATCTATGGCACCAAGGAGAATTTTGTAAACGCCGTTTTCATCAACAAATTCTGACTCTCTGTCCATCATTGTAGTTGATGTGATTGTTCCTGTTTTCGCATCAATGGTCATCCATTTCCCTTGATCTTCTAACAGCACATGCCTAATAACATGAGGAGAATCAAAACACTGAATTGCAGCTGCTGGAAGTCAAATGCATGGTTTTGCTGTGCTGCAATCAAAACACTCCTGCATAACTTGAAGTAAGTATTTTTGTATACAGTATGCCTTGTAATTCAACAGGTCATTTCTAATATGATATGGGAAATTTCATTTAAATGAAGGGCTTGACTAATGTATCGTAGTGAGGTTATTGCAACGCAGATATATCTTTATGTATATCAGGTTATGGACATCTGCTGGCCACTTAGCTCGCAGTAAAAACTGTAAAATATATAGGATTAGTTTGGATTTAATCAGATGACATTAGATTAAATTAACTTTATTGTCCACCTCTTGTTTTTTGCTTTTCCTAACACAGCAAAGGTACATACAAAACATATACAAGTACTAAGAACAAATAAAGTCAGTTGTTAACAATATAATTTTTCCCCTCATTCCTTTGACAACCACCGTTATCCGAAATAATTGTTAGTGGTTTTAAGATTTGTTTTAAACTCTATATATATGTTGCAATGAACACATCAAGCACAAATTACTGTATTTAAACACCAACCTGATTTTGGATACGTCAGAGTCGACATCTTTAATCGTTGGAGTGAAAAGCTCCTTTCCTGGCGGTTCCTCTTCCTTCAGGTACACGTGAAATATTTTTCTCTCATAGACAGGTGCGTCATTGACATCAATCACTTTCATAGTGATGTTGACTATATCTCGAGGTGGATGTTCGCTTGCGTTGACAAGTTTATTGTCTTTACAAAGAGTTAAGGGTTCCTCATTCTCTACTTCAACCAGGAGATAAGTTATTTGTGTCCTCTCGAAATCCTTTACCTGGAAGAAACACACAAGTTTAGATCAGTACTGTGACAGCTGTAGTTGTAAAAAATTATGTATTGAACTTGGCACATTGGAAAATAATTACAATTGTTAGCCTGAGAAAAGCACAGTTACCTTAATAACGCTTAAAATGCCCTCATTGGTTACAGGATCAGTATCAATTTTGTAGTTTCTTTCTTCATTCCCTTTCTTGAAGGTGTATTTGGCACGCCAGCCATTGGTATTAGGAGTGTCTTTATCGTCTACTGCAATTCTCAAAATGTCGTTCTTGGTGATCATTTCTAACACCTCACCTTGGTACTGGAATAAAAGAACAGTTTCATGTTTAACATCGTACCATAAATCACTTTTTAAAAAGTAACTAAAGTATACCAAAAAAAAGTTGTGCCTTCTTCTGCCTGAAGGTCGGTGCATGATTGTTGGTGTCAATAATGTTGAGAGTAATGAAAGCCTGGGATGATTGGGATGGTTCTCCATGGTCTTTGGCTTGAACAATAATCTCATACTTCTTTGCTTTCTGAAACATATATAAAAGTATGAAGTAAGAAGATTGAAAATGTTTTATATGTGTTAATAAATCAGTATGAACAGTATATTAAATGCAGCTGCCAGGTGATGTAGGTAAAATCTCACATCATAATCGAAACATCCTTTCAATGTGAGAAAGCCCAGATCATCCACCTGCCTCAACTCAATCTTTGGCTCATTTGGGATCTGTGAGACCAAGCTGAAGGTGAATTTTGAGTTATCTGTATCCCTCTGATCTTTGTCATCGGCTTTCAAATTCACTATCGAGGCTCCTTCATGAAGACAAAGAAAGCAACGCAGATTGAATGTGTTAGAAAAGTAGGATTGGGAGAAAAGGAACACATTTTGATTATAAAAAAACAAGATAAAAAGTGGAGCTTAGGTTTGAAATGATGTGGTCGCTGATTAACCCTCTAGACTTCATGACAACTTTTCCATTCTTTGTTGTGTATTAGTAGAAAATATGCATACTCTCTGAGCCATGCATACTGCATACTCACCCTCTTCTAGGTTTTCGTTCACATTGAACTCCATTATAGGGGGGAGGAAAGTCGGGGCGTTGTCATTGATGTCCTTTATTTCTACATCAAAAGCTAGTTCCTTGTCTATTTGTTGGCCAGTGTCTTTGCTCACTATATCAAATTTGATCTGTGGGTAAAGGCACACAAGTTAACATGATTTAGAAGGGTTAAACATATACACAGAATGTATATATCGTGAGAGGGATTGGTTATCCATTATGAGCTCACATGATAGGATGCACGTGCTTCTCTGTCGATAGATTTAAGGGCAAAGACACTTCCGGTAGCTGGATCGATTTTGAACACCCCCAGCGGCTCCTCCGTCACACCCACTCCAGTGATTTGGTAGTAGTGCTCCTCTGTACCCGTCTGGTCATTAAACATCTAGGGTGAATACAAAAACTGTTTAGCTGTTTTTGTTTTTATGTAAAGCCCAGCCAACATATTGAACTGCCTCAGTGATTGGTCATTTAATTTGCAAAATGATATCCTCACCTTCGAAATTTCCTTCGGGAATGGCCCGGGATCTTCCTCGGTTATTTCAATTGTAGACAAAACCCACCTTCTCTTGGCACGCACTAAAAGCTCCTGTCAAAAACATAATAAAGATCAATTGAATGAAATACAATAATTAAAATGTTTGAGTAAAAGTGAAAATATTTTGGCAGGGGTTTGCATTTCCAAACATGACGCAGTTACCCGCTTGTCACGCATGTGGTGTCTTCCATGGAAAGACTCGGCCAGGGCTATAAATGCAACCTAAAATAAAAGATACATTGTAAATATAGAGGAGATAGATGATTTATTCCAAGATATACAGTGAATAAAACTGTTGAAAATAATTGCAGATGTTCAGAATCATATAATCAATTAAAGTTAAACGAGTTAAATCGTCTTAACATTGCTTGAACCTTTTCACTATGATGTGTATCTGCAAGCCAGTGTTTTACTACAATAGCTTTGTGTAACCGCGGCTGCGCACACGGCCTAAAGTGTAGCTGTCCTACTGATCAAAGTTGCCCTCTCTCAACTTGATCAAACAGCAAAAACTCCACAGATTCAGGGGTGCTGGATCCCTCAACAAAAGACACAAAGCACAACAGTACATCAATTCATTGAGATAATAAAAACAATAATACTCTTGGGAGAAAAATCCTTGTCTAAAGCCTTTTTGTTGACTGCCAACTGTATCGTGTTTCTTTAAATTGAATCTGTGGAGTTTTTGCTGTTTGATCAAGTTGAGTTAGAGGGATCAGTCGAACAGCTAAACCTTAGGCTGTGTGCGCGGCCGTGGTTACATTTGTTTCAACACAAACCTTGGTGAGTGTAAATGGAAACCAATTTTACCGCTAGGTAAGGTTTGACACCTGTACACCTACATTGACATGGTTAGTTTACTTTGGAACTGGGAGCAAAATATTACATCAGTAATGTCCCAGTGAACTAAGAGCATTTTAAAAAATAACGTTTTTCCTATTATTTTTATCCTGTAGAATAAAAGCAAAATATATGACAGCAGGGGAAGTAAGTGATCTGTTTAAAATGTGTGCTTTTGCTTCGCCAATGAAGGAGGTCATGTTACCATGTCGACCAAATGTGTTTCCATAATGGATGCATTAAACCGGTATTGCTCTCTGACTTCATCCATCTTTAACTACCGGCAGACTTTTTTATTGTGCGTAATATACACCTGCTGTTATTCCCTTGTTAAAAGTAATCTACACTAAACTACAACTCTCGTAAAACATTCATTTCGTAAGAGAAATAACACAACATGATTGCTTCTTAAACATTATGATGCCTTTTATAAGGTAAAATATAATTCAGAATGTATGCCTACCAACAGAAGCAGAGAACAGGTCCTCATCTTGGTCCACACTGCTTGCTCTGTGGGATTACTCCAAAAGATGCAAAGCGAGTTTGAGAAAGAATGCACAGAAGACAGCCCACAATGACTGCAGGCAGGTTGGCTGACTGCCGACAACAAAAGGCACTCTGTTTGTGCGCAAGGTTATCTGCTATGTGATCAGTCAAATTACATTTGAGTGTAGGACAACAATTATATTTGAGCTTCCCTGTATATTTGCTCTGTAGCTAAATATATTTTGTGAGAGAGTTTTTAAGTTAACACGAGTACTCTCTGGCTGTGCTGAGGAACAGGGTTGTCTCAGGTGTACACCCCTCCAGCTCTATAGCTCAGGTTACCAAACGAAACTGAATTCCATAGGTCCTGTCAGTTTCAGATAGAGAGACTGACATGACATTAAAACCTAGCTGGGCAGTAATAGTTCTTTCAACTTACACAGTACACTTTGTCCTTTCATACATGCATATTCCCATACATATACTACTGCATGTAGGCATAATTTGGGTCTAGATAGGTCTCACAAACACATACTGAGGGCATGCTCACATCCAGTTACAAACTTTAACAATACATAGGCACATTTTGGGTACCACTTTAAAAATAAGACTACCCTTATAAAGGATTCATAGAGGGTTTATAATTAGGTTATTACTTAGGTTGTAAACACTTTATTAATCATTAAGAACCATTTATAAAACAGTTCTAACAGTTTTCACTTTTCATACATCAACACAGGCTCACCATTTGGCAAAATGACGAATCCTTATATTGACTACTTAGCTTACTTTGTCTTCTTCATCAGCCAACATCCTTGGTATCTGTTGTTCACCGAGTTGATTCTCCCCCCAAATGGGAATGGGTTTTATACTTTACAATAAGGCTCCCTTTTGGCAGTTATACATTTTAGTAACTCATTAATAAATGGTCATAAGAGATGCCAAGAAACATCACGATGGAAGGGGGGGAATCAACTCAGTGAACAACAGATACCAAGGATGCTGGCTGATGAAGAAGACGGAGTAGCCAATATAAGACTTAGCAGTACAGATAAATGTGGGCTCACTGTTTGGCAAGCAACCGGTCACAGTTGCCCTGTTTATCTCATGTCCTGTAAAAGCGTATTAATGATTTATAAAGTGTTCACAACCTAATTAATAAATTAATTACAAACTATTCGTAAACCCTTTATAAGGGTAGTCTTATTGTAAAGTGGTACCGAATTTTGAACATGAAAAGCCTGAACCTTGATAGAAAAGGAGTTGTAGTGAGTGATAAATGAATACAATAGAGATAACACACAGTTAAATAATATGATTTCAGAAAATAATTGTGGATTCCTTATGTCCTAAATAAATAAACTGTTTTGTTTTACAGTTACCAGTTGCCCACTTAATTCCATTAACTATATTAAATGATAAGGCAATTGTACATGTAAAGACTCAGACATGGCTCAGTGGCTGGTGTGTTGCTGTTTTAACTATCTAAAGGAAGATTCATTCGAAGTGCTGTACATTGCTTTCATGTGTTCTTCAGTTATCACATAATATTTGTATTCTGTTTTATTTCACCAAGATAAAATGCACCACATGTCATTTATCTATTTTCCAAAGAGTGTCACAGAGGGGCTGGTTCCATTTAGGCAGTGAGGGGTTTGACTTATAGACAGACTCAGTTTTATGCCCTTACCACTGGGTGTGGTAAGCTGTCAGTCTACAGTTAGAAATGGGAGCGGGCAGAGGAAACGTATATTGTTTGAACAGAATGAACATAGCAACACATTCCCAATCTTACTCGATGCTGTATGAGTAGTAAATAACCTGTTTGCCCTGCGGCAGGTTCAACAGTTTTATAGGAGAGGTTTCAGAAACACGTTTTCTGGAGAAGTGAAAAACAAGTATTTGTATTCTCAATACAATCTACCCCTTTACATTGATATAAGGCATTTATACATAAACAAACAATTGTATTATGACCTTTAAAACAAAAACAAAATCATACTGTACGGTAATCAAATCTATGTTTAGTACAAAAACGTTTTGGTTGTCTCTGCAAAATTATAACCAGGTAAAGATCAGAATGGTACTAGCAAATGTAGTTGGAGATAAGTGAACTATTAAGGTCATTAAGAGAAAGTACAGGCAACTTCCAAAACTAGAAGAATCAGAAAGCATAATAAACAGAACGGAGAGGAAGACCTGACAGTGAGAGTCAGTACTTTTCATGGTTGTGAAATGTTTCCTGTGGTGAAAAAAACATTCCAAGAATTATAATTTGGTGCATGTGATATATGGAGCCTGTCAGTTTTTAAGGTTAGGTTAATCTTAGTCACACTAAAACTCAGAACTTAAACCAATAGTCCAGTTCCCAGAATTGAAACAGGCATTAGTTGCTGTGTTTTTTCCCTCTTGTTCATACTAGCACTCAAGGGGTTCGTTCCTAAAGTGATTTGGCCATAATATCCTTGTTTTGTTCCACACACTGTGTCCATGTAATTAATGGGACATTCTCTTTTAATATCCTATATGAACAAGAGGAATGATGACAGCAACCAAAATATATAGCGCCTTTCAACACAAGAACAGGTTAAGAAAATACTGTTTGTATCGAATAGCCAAATACGCAAACTAGTTTAGAGTTTCAACAGACGATTATAAAGAGTGCAGCAAATCACAGCCAGGTCAACCATGCTGGTCAGGTTTCTCCCATGAAAAATGATTGTAAAGGTAGAGAAAAGAGAGATTCCAGACTGCTTTGTACACACCCTAAATATCGTACAAAACTATAGAGATCCAAATGAAGAAACGTATCTTACTTTTACTCATGGAACTCTCTGTGTTTTGTTTATTTGCCTGCTTCTGTAATACCTTCATTACATTAAGTCAAAGTCAAAGTCAACTTTATTGTCAACCTCAAAATATGTTTTTACACACAGAAATATCGAGATACTGTTTCCCACAGTCCCGCGGTATAAAAGAACTCTCACATTGAAATGCAAGAAGACTATAATTTTCCAAAAATTAAATAAATAACCGTTTGCTTCAAGTAAGCCAGGATATATATAAAAAAATAAGATGTACAGTGCAAGAAAGTACAGTAGGCTTAAGAAAAGTACAGTAGCAGTAAGTGACTGCGGCTCAGAGGCCATCTGATCACCTGGTAGTGGAGATGCCAGCGCTCCCTCGTCTGCTCCTGAGTTTAGAAACACATCCAGGGCCTCCTGATCAGAGATGTCCATCAGGTCCATCTGCTCCAAGACGTCCACATTAACCTCCATAGAAGAGATACTGCCCATTGGGGCTGCGTTTACAGACAGAACAGCTTACAGTGTATAACATGAATACACACTTTGGTATATGTCAAAATAAATACATATCACAATTTCTTTGTTGCTGGCCCACAAACCACAGTTTTGCAAATGTTCAGGTCTTTCTTGTTGCTTTTAATTAAGTAAACACTGCTAACAATGGCTGTTAATGTATTAAAACCTGAAAGTAGTTTGCCAAATTTAAACTTTCAATGTTTAACAGTTTTCCATTAGTTTTGACTCAACACACATTTCACAATTGTTTTCTATTTCTATCAACAAAAACAGTATTTATGCCCCAAGACTGGACAGTTACTCACGTTCCTAAAGCTGACCTGCAGGTGAGCAGAGGGCAAGTTGTTGTCCACGTCATGCTGGTATACGTCTTCAAAAAAGTGCTGTCTCTCTTTTCGCTTCAAGTTCTGAGCAGAATCGTTGTCCAACACCCGCTGAGAGTTATCGGTCTCCGCTGACCACCCAAAACAGACACAAAGAAAAAACATTAAAGTAATTTCAGTTTTATTCTCTTTTTACAGATTTACGTTGTTTTATGTATTTGTCTGCATTTCACTGAAATTAGCTTCATTTAGTTTCTCTTCCTTTACTTCCGTTACTGTTATTCCCAGAAAGTCCATAAAGCAAAGTTGCACAGCCGGTTTTCACATGACTACGAGGCAACTGTGCTTTTAAGAGGTCTTTTTTCCTAACGCAAAAAAACACTTTAAAGCAGTTATAAAAGAATATATACATCTGTATATTTGACATTTCATTAAGGAACTTTCACCTAATGTGGCAGATGTTAGATACACCACTGTTAAAAGGCAGCCATCATGAGCGGCATATTCCCCCTCCCTTTTGCCTTGGTCATCATTCTATTGTGCACTTCACAGTAAACGTTATTCCTCCTCCCTCTTAATTATACTTAGTACTATCAATTAAATCATACAATGCAAAACAAAAGCTGTAATAAAATAAATCTAGAGACTAGGAAGGTTTTAAACATGTTTGCCTAATACTTGGTCGGGCCAAAAGCTGTCAACCGGTTTGGTTTCAAACAACAAGGTAAATAATTCTCTGAAAGTACTGTAAATGGCTCTGTTCAAGTCCTGAATTTCCCCATGATTACTATTGCCTTTTGATTGCCCTCATGGGTGTTTTGCATTGGATTGGTATGTGCTTTCAACATGCCCTTTACTCAAGTTCTATCTTTGAGCTGTCATATATTCAGTCCCTTGGTGTTAGCATACTCAAGTGTATGAGCAGAAAAATAACTGGATAAAGAAAGATTCAAGCTGTCCGCAAACCGTGTACATCTCTGAAGATCCCTAGCTTCCATTGTGTGCAATTACTAGGAATTTATTTTAAATGCGTGACAATGCAGCCATGCTGTGAAAACAAGAGAGCATCTGTCCTCAGATCTACCTCCAGCATTCGACCTCTGTCATTCTGACCAGCTATGGTTGTGTACCCGTGCTACATTCCTCCTCAGAAACACTGTGCCTTCTCTCACTTGGGCCTTCACGAGCTGACACTTTGACTCCATGTCACCGGTGTTTAATTTGTGTGTTGTGGTGTGTGTGTGTGTGTGTGTGTGTGTGTGGTTGTGTGTGTGTGTGTGTGTGGTTGTGTGTGTGTGTGTGGTGTGTTGTGTTGTGTGTGTGTGGTGTGTGTGTGTGTGGTGGTGTGTGTGTGGGGCATGTGGTCCAGTGGTGTGTTCGTGGCCATCAAGAGATCGGGAAACATCATGATCGTCAAGACGCTGTTGCAGTTCATGTTTGCTGCATCGGAGTCCAGCTCTTCAAGGTGAGACTGAACCAGGTGGGCAAAGTACAAACATCGCTTTACATCAAGTAGAACGTAACAGATACTCATGTTCAAAAATACTCCTGGT